CTACACTAACCTTTCCTGCTACCCATGTAATTGCAGGCCTCCTGCTCTCATGCCGCTGCCACGACAACTGCAGGATCAGGCTGCTTCCCTGCCTAGCTTGCCCTTGGTAGTCCCAGTTTTGCGTCTCTGCCCAGCACAGGATTGCAGGAACAATGTGTATAATGGAAGTGCTATGAGCCATTGAACCAAACTGTAAACCACTCCAAGCCAAAGTGTGTAGCAGCACCCTCCTCACTCCAGCATCTATGTCTCAGCTCTAAGGCTAGAGCCACAAGCCAGCTGCTCCAGCTCACACTCTGCCCCTGATCAGCTAGCATTCCTCTGAGCTTACTGCCCTTTTCCTGTTCACCTATATTATGGAGCCCTCCACTAGTGGAGGCTGAACATGGTAATGCAGCATTGTCCACACCTCTCCCTCCACCTCAGCCTGGCAGGAGGGAAGGGTATCCAGTTGGTTCATTCCTATAGGCTCACCGCCCCCCTCCCCACCAACATGCATAGCCCCATCTGAGGCAGATACTTGGGCTATGTCTACACTCGCGGCTTCTTGCGCGAGTAATATGCAAATGAGGCAAGCGTGGAATATCGCCAAGCCTCATTTGCATACCTAATGAGCCACCATTTTTTTCAGAAGAGGCCCTTGCGCACTGCCCCTTCTTGCGCAAGAAAAACCCTCTTGTACAATGCCGTTCTTCCTGAAAAGTAATAGGTGTAACGGCATTGCACAAGAGGGTTTTTCTTGCGCAAGAAGGGGCAGTATAGATGCTCCTTATTGCACAAGAGCCTCTTCTGAAAAAAAGGTGGCTCATTAGGTATGCAAATGAGGCTCGGCGATATTCCACGCTTAGCCTCATTTGCATATGACTCGCGCAAGAAGCCGCGAGTGTAGACATAGCCTTGGGGTATGTCTGCACTGTAGAAAAGGCATGTTCTTAAGCTGGGTTAGCTGACTTGGGTTCAAATAGCGGGAAGGACACAGCACTTCAGCTTTCACTCAGGTTAGCAGGTTGAGTTCAACAGAAGGCTGCCCCTTTGGGTTTACTGTGAGCTGCTAACGAGAGTTACAAGAGGAGTTGCTGTGTCTTCACTGCTATTTTAACCTTGCCCAGCTCACATAGGTCATGACTAAATCTTTTTTTGCAGACATACCCCACATTTGCAGAGTGACCCCTACCCCCGCCCCCTTAGCAGATGCCAGCTGTACTGTTTCTGTTCCTAACAGCTCTTTTCCCCCTTTTCCTTTTGCACCGCTAGCCAAGGCAACTGAGTAGTTGTTGGGACACTGTAGTTGTATCAAGACTAGAAAGCTAACTGGGGCTGAGGCAACAGGATTCACTACAGGTCGTCCCCGACTTAGGAACGCGTTGACTTACGACTGTTTGTATTTACGACCAACCTCCCATTAAGCTGGTCCCTGAGTTACGAACGCGATCTGCGCTTATGAACAGCGCGGTCACATTTAAATGAATGGGTTCTGACTTATGAACAGATCGAGTTACGACCAAGTGTTTGGAAGGTAACTCATTCATAAGTCGGGGACAACCTGTATTACCAAGTACAAGAGAGAACAAATTATGAGTTGGATCTTCAAAAGTCATGAACTTGGACTCCAAATTTATGAGACTTTTTTTTACAAAAATTACTACATTGTGGAGTTTTGATCTGGTTTTTTTTTTTCAACAACTTCTGCCCATCTTGTGTGAGAGAAACAATTAGTGCTGCCAGTACCCCAAATATACCGAGTAAGGGGATTTTGGCCTCTGCTAACAGTGCTCTAACTCTAACCCCTGCCAACCTTCACCTCTGCTCTTCCTATGGTGCTTCACCATCCTCTCCCAGGCTGCAGGAGGGGCTACAGCAAGATCCCATCTTCTCCTTCCAGGATGGAACAGGTGGTGGGGTAGCTCCAAGGGTCTGTTCGCCGCCCCTCCCCTCCCCGTGTCTCTCCCCAGAGGGATGGAGAGGGGGAGAAGTAGGGGCAACAGCCAATCCTTATTGCTCACAGGCCAGGAAGGAACAGTCGAGTGACTGAACTCTTTTGCTCCTTTTCCCTCTCCTCCGTGAATGGCTTCAGGTGGCCCATTTTTAACACTGTGTCATCTAGAACTGCAGGATCACATGACAGAGTGCGTCAAAGGGTAGCAGGCAACCTCGCTCCAGCTGCTACATTAGTATTTCATTTTTACAGTACTGCCTAGGCCCCTTACTGATTGGTGCCGTACCACCAGGTAACAAGGAGACAGACAGCCCCACCGTATTGTGCTCGCTCTCCACAGGACAGGGAGGCTTTCCCCCAAAATTGCCAGTCTTGAGGCTTCATAGGGTCTATCATAGTCATAGCTTGCATGAGGGTAAGAGAGGGCTGCTGTGATCTGATGCTGTGTGCCTTTAAAAGACTTTGTTGCTGTAGCATTTTGTGCATCGCCATGTCGCTAGCAGTGTGTGAGTGTTGCTGTCACACTCCCTGCAGTCTGGAGATGTGTTTTGTTTTGTCTTGTGTCACTGAATGTATGTGTGTGTGATAGCAGTGCTTCTTCTGTGTTGCTATTTGTATGTTGCATTGCTCTCTGTGGTAGATGCAGGGATGATGACTCTTTCCTTATTGTGTGTAGTTGTGTCTTGTCTTATATGGCTATGTTACAGTGACTTGTGACAGAGCCTCTTTTGTATTACTGATTCGTATGGCTATGTTGTCACGTGATGAGGCCGTGTGTGATCGTCATTCTATATATGATAGAGTATTTGTCTGTATGGCTTTGTGAGGCTAGATTGCTGTATTTGTAGATCTGTGTGTGATTGACACGCACTGTCTGTACGAGTGTGTGCTGTGGTGTTGCAATGTGCATTCCAATGTGTGCATTGTTGTGGTGCAATATGTATATATGCAGGGACTGTTGTAGTGCAGTATAAGTGCATATGCATACACACAATTGTATTGCAATGTGTGCGGTGGTGTAGGATACAGAGATGGTGCACTGCATGTGGCAGTGGTGCAGGGTCGGTGTGCAACAGTAGTATTGTATATGGTGATGGCACAATATGTGTGTTGCAGCATGTAGTTGTGGTACAGTATGCATTGCAGTTGTGGTTGTGGTGCAAGTAGCATTACACAGTGTGATGGAAGTGCATTGGTGGTGCATTATCTGGTTGTTGTGCAAGGTGCATTACATCATGCAATAGAGGTGCAGTGTGTGGTTGTGATGCATTGCATTGTGCAGTGGGGGTTTGGTATGTGGTTCTAATGCAGTATGTGGTTGCAGTATGGTGCAAAATATAGTGTGCAGGTGTGCTGCAATGCACAGTGGGAGTGCAGAGTGCGGTTATGGTACAGCATGCGGTGGGAGTGCAGTGTGTGGTTGTGGTGCAGCGTGCACTGCAGTGTGTGGTTGAGGTGCAGTGCAGTGCAGTTGAGGTGCAGCGCAGTGCAGTGAGGGTGCAGCGGGCACTGCAGGCGGGGGGCAGTGCGGCTGGGGAGCAGCGGCCA